CTGAGATATGTAAACATATTTGAGGGCTTAAATCAAATAATGGATGCTAATGATCACGTGCAATTATACTAATTCCCTCACCTGATCAAATAACAGTACGCTGACTTAGCGATCTCGCATAGTCACAATCATGGAATCATAAAATGAAGATCATCGACATTCATGGGTCGACAACGACATCGTGCTTCACTTATATGGAGCTTGCCACTGATATGTAACACGATGGACTGAATTACGCAGTTGATGGAGCTGACCAGTGTCCAGTTATACAGATTTAATGCGGCGACCGCAGGACCGATTGCTGGCAACAGTCAGTGGTCTTCGCGAAAGCGTCCCATTCCGTTTTGAAATCAGTCTTGAACTCTGAAAATGAACGAATAGAATTAAAGCGACCTCGGACTGGTATATGCAGTTACACAATGCAGCTTAATGCATGTCATGGCTCATGAAATTATGCACTGAAAAAAATGAGGGGGTCAAAAGTATTAAATACTCTATAAGAGTGGAGTCTATAGGAGTTGAAATTTGGATTTGCAACAAGGTGTTGCCAATGTTGAACGAGGAGGACACGTGATTGGAGCATGCAAGAACCGGAACGACCTGTGGTGATCCATGAAAAATGCTGAGGTGTAACAAGATGGTAGAGTTGACTGGTTGCTTTTCGAAAGGCCTTCAATCGGTCGTGTTTTGGAAAACGTTGATAATGTACTCTGAATGCTGAATTGAAATTGGTGACGATTTTTCATTCACTTCACTTCGTAATTAGGCGCAGAATTGGTTCGGGCTATGCTTTTGGCGTCGATTATGTATTCTGCAAACTTAGGTTTCGTTTCCTGAAGAAATACACAAAATGGCGTAACGATAAGATAATGAACTAAATATTGTACTCATTTTTTTCAGCATATGGGGTCGAATTACATCAAGTAATATTTAAGTATTTATAACAGCACTCATCAGAAGTACTAGCAATAACTAATAATGAACTTCATTATTCTACTAAATGCACGTTAAATTTATTCGAAGGATTTACGACAGTGCGCATTGTTTTTGCCTGGTCTGTTCTTTCAGGAAGCAGAGAATACGACTTTGCTGCACTTCGACTCGATCTATGTCGTCTGCAGGTGAGTGAATTTTGTTGCGCTAAGAAATTACCTAACTGCTTTCATCACCGGCAATTTTAACAATAGCGTAACATTACACAGTGAAAGAAGTGACATCAGGCTGGAGCATAGCAAAGAGCCAAGCTCTTGACCATTGATTGTGCCGATGGACCGAAGTAGCGAATCCGATGAAGCAGGCAGTGGGCATTTTTCTCTGGGCAAATGCAGCCAATCACATCATTGATTGCTTCCATATGTCTAAGGTGCCATCTAAGCATAACAAGACCGCATTGTGTTGAAACATTTGGTGAGCCAGTGTCATATTGCCAAACTGTGTAAGTGGAAGAATAACCCAAAAATAACATTCACTGGCTGAAGTAAAACATTATATGTTGTTACAGAATATGTTGCGAGGTGTATATTTCCTTTATGAGTAGACTTCACGGCCTATTGGACCGCTTCTTGCTCATCTTGAGTAGGGGAACGTTTGAGAATTCTGCTTAATATGTCTTGATCTTTTATAATACAACGTGCGCTGATTATCACATTTGGTGTTCAAGTGTCAGATGGGTCAAGGCGAATTGCAGCTCAGTGATTCGCTCACGTCAGACAGCATGGTCATATCCCTCGCCCATTCTGGATGATTTCAGCATAACATTATGTTGGCACATCAATAGCTGGTTGCACCGAAGAAAAGTGAGGGAAAATTTTGGAAAATTAGACACATTCACCCGGTATGTCCGAGTTCAAAGCGAATATTGCCGCTGCGTCTTCCCTCTTTCTGGAGGAGTTCTTGGAGCATTAACCTATTCCGGCGTGCGAATCCACATTTCAGCATTTATACGGCAGCGTATAAGAAGTGCTAGCTGCAAAAAAATAGAGCGAGATGCATCTACCGCAGAAGATGTTCAAAAACTATGCAGACAGTTCAGTATGTGTTCCATTTACAAGCAAGGGGCAAGAGGGTGTGCAGTACATTGTGAAATTTGGTTTAAGAGAAAGCATTCAGCGATGACAAAAATATGTGTATTGAAACATTCTCAGCAAAGACTGGTTTATTAAGAATAATTTATTTACCATGCTGTTTTGGAGAATAAATATTAATAAACTTTTTTTCTGTTTTCATGATATAATATACATATGATTTATAACACGGACCTTGTTACATGATTATAATATCTGCGAATGCTATTTTTCCCAGTGGGAAAAATACAAATTATATTGATAAACCCTAATTTTGGCTGATTTATTATTCCCACTATTCGAAGTGGCTTCTACGAAGCATGAATGTGAACAGCTCCAAGTGTTTATTTACTGGACAACCATTCACATGAAAGGCAGATCAAACAAATGAATGACGGATCGTCATCGTAACTGTAAACTTCTATAAAGAGTGGCTTAGTCAGTTTATGAAGCAGTCAGCAGACGAGATCACAAGTAGAACCTCTCTCAGTACTAAAAGGCTTCAGGGGTGTATGCTTTATTCAGAACTCGACCAGTGACCACTTCTTTAATTTCATGTAGGTGACTGCCTGAGGTAATGTGGCGCAATGATGAAATGTGTCAACTAACACTGAACATGCAAAAATATAACTGCTCATACTACTGAATCACAGACACTGCCATCTTAAAACTTTCTCTACTGAACCTCGCCTTCTTGAAATCGTTGGATGCTCTTCACTTTTTTATGCTTAGCTAACGATCAGTGATAATGATCAACACTGTTTTACTGTATAATGGATAATTATTTGTTTTGTCTTATCAAGCGATAGCCAGACGCATGCAGTGCATGACATGTGACATAACGAAACTTTGCAGGTTTATTCGGAGTCGAAGGGTATTTCGCTCGAGAACAATCCAGATTTTGCACACGCCATCAACACCACCATTTTTCACCTGAAGGCGGTCGATGAGTTGGACCAGATAATGAAAGACAATTCTGATCTCTCGCTGAACTGGTGACCAGCTTGGACTAGAATTTGTCTTAAGCTGCCATAAAACTTGTTTTCAGCTTTTACCCGTCACAACTGATGAACAACTTTCGCTTTTGTCTCCGGGTTCCCAGTCAAGCTCGTTTCGTCTGCGTGTTCCCCAGAATTTGTGCTGATTTTACACACTGTTTTCACAACATGTGCCCCGAGGAAGTAAGCAATTCCTTGTTTTAATGTTTCATCGTTACCATACACTAAAGACGTGTGCTTGTGTCTAAAACAGAACTGCTCCCAAAAGTTGCACTGCTCTCTGTTTGGTAAAGTGAAAGAAAGTTTCGTGATGCTTAATATGTACGATGGCTCAGTTTCGTCGGCCCAGGTTTAAAATCAGATAGTCGACTGGATTGAAGTTTTTCTAAGGACGCAAGCAGCGGCTCTTTAGCCCGCAACTAATGCTGCACCGTTTTAAGCTCAACATACATTTCACTTACCTTATGTTAAGTTCATTTGTATGGTAGATCGGTGACGAACGTGATGACGATGCAGTTTGATGAATTTCGCTTTTATTCGCAAGTTATGTGCCGCAACAGATTACCATTCAACACCGACTATCTTCAGAAGAACATATCTTTTTATACTGAAAGGAGTATCTTTGTTTTAATATTGGATGCCCCTATCAGCAGCTGCGTCGCTCATTTGTCTGCAGTCGTGCGGCGATCTATTCCGAACGAAATTGTCATGTCATCAAATATAGGAGCCTTGCTACTGGCCTGGCCGACGTTCTTCAATATTTAAAATATCTCAGCAAATTTTCTTTAGTGGCAAATGCTCGCCAAGAAATTTACGATTGGCCCTATTGTCAGAATAATTTGGAAAAGTAAATTTGCATAAAATTTCCCATGGTGAACCAAGTGCCCATGGTAATGGTTTAAGGCTCTTTCTTTACTGAAGATTAATTTTTTGTACAGTGACAAAGCACCGCCAAAAATTTTAAAATGTGACTTGATGTATTTAGAGGATTATCATCGGAAATCGAGCTACAAACACATGTGATTTGTTTCTGAAGCAAACGGTGATGAAAGCAGCTGAACTGTTTGCTGAAATCTGTAGATACATGGGAGCAATTGCTGATCAGGTAAAGTATATTTAAACAAAGAATTCGAAACTCTTCAGCCTCCGTTAATAGAGAAAAATGACAACTTCTGTTCATAAAGATGGTGGAATATATGTAAGGTTTTAGCATTAACGTTTTCCTGATGTTGACGTTCTAAGTGGTATGAACGACCCTACAACTTTTCATTCATTTGTTCATGGCATCCATTAGATATCCCTCAATTTTTGGTGTGTGAAACATATATGCCATTCAGGCGGGAGATTATTTTATGAAAATTTTGCTGTTTTCTTCATTTATCAGTAATCACGCTAATCAGTTGTTAATGGGCAATAGATATGCTATCTGAATATCACTTCCTTAGACAGATTTTGAAGGTTTAATTACATAGAAGGATATACCAACCTCTGAATACGATTGCGTCACGAGTGGACCGTTTGAATGTTTACGCAGCTCTTAACGGAAGAAATACCTTGAACAAAATTGCGGTGTGCCGATTGGTGCTGTACTGTGTTCATTGCTGGCATTGAACGACGCGAAACAGCGATTTTCGATTTATAGTCGAGGCGCTTGTCGAATGACGACAAAAATAACAAATGCTGTAAATTATTAGAAAACTGATGGACGATTTCGATATCTTTCCGGGTCTTTCATAATCCTGATGCCATAACAACCCCAATTTTGATTCATTTCTGACGGTCAGTCACACGATGTCGTTGGATCCTATGTAATCATAGTTTTTCTTGCAGTTGTGGTCATCCTTCCTTGGTTGAGAAGGTAGGCGAGATTTTGAACAAATTTTTTTATTTGGTGGGTTGAGGCGTATTACTGACTGACCATGTTTACAGATAAGAGTCCAAACACAGCGAGATCCGTGAGATAGGAATGACTTCACTGGTAACTGTCTAGTTAAATATGCCAAATGTGCAGCAGAATTTCCTTTATAAAAGCCTCTACTAAAGTGAGCTAAACTCTAAATTCACCTTAAGCACAGCGTCTAGTTAAGCGATCGATCGACAGACTTTCTAGAAGTCAGTTTAAATCTTGGATAGTGAGAAACAGAGGAGCGGTTGCGAATGGTTTGCTCTAGACCGGGGCTGGGCTGTAGGTGGAGCGATCTCAGAAGACTCGACAAACTCAGGCGACTGAGGTCGCGAGCTACAGCCGATGTCGGGTCACTCGCCTTTCTTCCTTCCGCGGTTGATAAATGAGTACTACTCTGTGGGACTGAATCAGACCACTGGACAGTATTTCTGCCATATACTTGCTGCCTGCCTTGGAAATAACACACTCTTTACTGATGACCTGAAAATGAAAGCAGCTCTCACAACTGAAATTGAAAAGTGCAAAAAATCACCCAGTTATGAAAGAGTAAGGAAGACTGACATGCCAAAGATTGCAATTTTTTCTTCTTTCCTTTATTTTGGGAGATCTAATCATGACATAGCTCTCCCGCGTTGTAACTAATTCATTTTGCGAAAAGATTTATTGGAAATCAGATTTTATGGCATTTCAATTAATTATTTCGTTGTCTGAAACCTGTACAGCGCTTTGAGATGTAGATGGAGAAAAAACATTTATACTCACAGCTTTCGAACTACTTTCCTTTATGTTATTCTGTGCTTAATCTGTTTTCGCTGTCTTTTCGATCCCTTGTTTTGCTTCCGCTCTCATCTAGAGTTCCTTGTGCCGCCTCTAATAAGATGGTTCATTATCAGCGTAACAATCGTAATAAAATATCGATTTATTACGATGGTCAGGTTCATAAAGGAACACCCTTCCAAGATTCACCCACCAGTCCTGATGTTTAATAGGTTTCTAAATCTTTAGGGCTTCCTTCTGTTCTATTATACCCTTTAGACTTCGTTTATCGGTTCTGTAGGCAACTTCAGAAGTGAATTTGAGCTATGTTGTAGCGACTTGTAAAGCTTCTCTTTATATCTGGTCTGTAAAGCAAGAATTTGGCGATTTTGCTCAAAAAGCAACATCCAATTCAAAATCGTTTGTTTATCTTTTCAGCTTTACTGTCTTTGCAACGTGTATTTTTTTTAATGTCTTTGCAACCCAGAAGTAACACTGATCATAAACATATGCAAATATCACAAAGTTCTCTTGTCAATTCTACGGATTTCCATGGTGTAACGCACCGTCCCTTGCTTTAATAACCTAGGGAACCGCTTCAGTATGCCTCGGCTCCATGGTATTTTAGCACGTGCATTCCATAGACGCAAAACAGCACCATTTTGCTGGGTGACAGTATTTTTGTTCGCGATACTGAATGCTAGCAGTTTACTAGAAAACCCATAATAACTGGACATTTTTGGTGTGCTTGCAAATTTATATAGAGTAAAATTTAAATTTATTTTTGTTTAGTCCTTACCAGAAAACTGTCGCAACGAGAAACAGTCCGATGAAAAAAAATCGATCGGTGAAAAGAGCAAGAAAGAGGCTAAAGCTAAGCTTCCCGAGACAGAGAATCGACCAGGTGACGAAAGCTACCGCAAAACCATTGAAGACACTAATGCGTAAGTCACTTTGCACTTGGAATTAGAGCAGATGTTGAAACGAATTATGATTCAGATAACTTGTGCATCTCATACCAGTTCTGAATGAGGTCATTTCCGCAGTCGTGATGCGATAAATATAAAACAATCAATTTTTCTACGCAGCGTGAGAAAATGCCTTTGGCGAAAACATGAGGGCCATGCAACATCAGACAACCGGGTATAAAAAACACATCTTGATTATGTTGCAGATCTACTCGCGAACTCTTCATGCATCATGGGCACATAATCGACGGGGGACCGTTTACGCCAATCGAAAGAATGTCCTCGGGCCATGGCGTAGACGAACTACGGCCCAAATTCTTGCCGCATTAATTTGAGTTCATATTGCTTTTCGATGATTGATTTATTATCCTCTAAGGAGCAAGGGAGACAAAATGCAGTAAAGTACAAACTTTACTGCACTCTGAGCAGCTGCCTCTTTGTAAAGTAGAAACCGCCCTTCTCTTTCACGGACGAGAGCTTATTGGCTTACCGGCTGAACACTGGCACCCGATTTCCAATTACTGTGTAGTTATGACCACTAGTGAGGATTTTATAATAATTAACCAGATTCTCTTTGCCCGCACTTTCACGATTGACTTTGGGAGACTTGTAAGGACAAAAATTTTGGCTTTGAGGGTAAGAATGTTGCGAAAGACAAAAAAGACTTCCGCAAAATACCAACCTCCCTTCCTTGAAAGAGGCTCACAAGCAACGAACCGAAAAGTCGATGTTGATCAATCATTGAGTTAAACATTTAGTTAACCATATAAGCCATGTTTAATGTTCTCTTCAATATTTTTATTAAAATATGAACAGTCAGTCAGTCCGCTTCAATGACCGATTATCTTTTCGGGTTGCAAGGCACACGTGTCAATCAGTGTGTCAAACGTTCATGATCTTGTATCAGCATTTGAGCTTTGGCGGAAGATAATCCGAGTCTGAAGCCAGGTCCGTTGAAGCACCTGCTCCAGGCTATTCTTCGCCGTCTCTGTGGTCTTCTACTGGTCAGTTGAGCAAGCATAGGCTGTTTTGCCCTTCTGTCTGGAAGTATTCCAATGGAGCGCCAAAGCCATTGTGACTGTGACTTCTCATTGTGTGCAGTAACAGCAGCTGGTGCACCAAGACTCTCTCGGATTTCTGTACTCCGGACCATGTCGCGACACTGAGCCCAGTAATTTGTCTTTGAAAGCCCAATTAAGCCATTTACCCGAGGCAGAATTTGTTTAGTTATTGTCCACGTTTCCAGACCATAGATGACCATTGGGATGAAGATCGACCTCAACACAGTTAATTTAGTCTTGAGACTCAGCTCAGCTTTAGTCACAGCGATTCAGTCTAGTTAATGCAGAACGCCGCTTGACATTCTACTTAGTCGGTACATCTCTTTGCAATACTTACCATGACCAGTAAGCGCTACATCGAGGTACGTGAACTTTTCTCCCTGTTCTACTGCCTGTCCGTTTGCAACGGACAGAAAAACAAAAAGGCACTAGGCTTTTCGTATGAGACACGTTCACATGCATGCCACCTACGTCACAGTTGGTAGTGAACTTTGACAGAGAGCCCGTGGGACTGTCTTAGAAAGGTTCCATCAAAACAAGATCGTCTGCAAACAACAACTTTCTCATCTCGATATCTCCCATGTCGAAACATTTGTCACCCTGTCTACGCATGACTATCCTATCTATTTACAACACAAACAGCAGAGGGGACACATCGCAGCCTTGCCGAAGACGGGTGCCAAAGCTGAAAGATCTAAACTTAATGCGAGTTTCTCTGCTATCAACATATAGTCGTTGGATGGTTCGTAGCAACTGGCCATTTATCCCATGTGTTTGGAGGCACGCTCACAGCTTCTTGCGCGGGATCCGGTCACAGGCGTTCTCCAGGTCAACAAAGCACATGCAAACAATTTGGTTTAAGGCGAAAATCTGGTCAGAAATGCTTTAGCCTAAGCAGATGTCACCTTGATCTTAGAGTTAGTCATTGAGCGACATATCGTTTTCAACGCGTTCGACCATACCCCGGTAGGGTTAATAATGTAGTGTCTTGTCAGTTGGAGCACTATCTATGGTCTCCCTTCTTGAAATGGGTTATTACCACCCCAGTTTTTCAGTTCTCTTGTGTGTACCCAGTAATCATTATAGTTTGACAGATACGCGTGGGCTACAAAGTGATTTGTTCGCCTAGTGATTTAAGCATGTAGCTGCGGATTTCATGGATTCTAACTGTTTTGCCACATATCAAGCCTTTTATGGCTTCTGTGACGTCGTCTGCTAAAGACCAATATCCGTTATCTGCTGCTCTCCATGTGAATCTTGCGGTTGTTGTAGGCTAAGCAGTTCCTCACAGTACTCTCGCCCTCGCCAAGCTATTTTCTTTCTTTTGGTAAAAAGGTGTCCACACTTGCCGTTTAAGCTTAACAGATTCAAGCTGAACAGAACAGATTTCATACGTAGCGAATGGTCTCTCAAAATGTCTTGTTTGCGGCTATGCACACTTCTTTGTACCGCATTTGAGTTGAAGGATGTTTGTTTCCGAGCCCACTCCTGAACGCAGCCTTCGTCTTGCTGTCAGCCAGATGTACTTCCTTCTATCCAGCAGGAAGTTCGTTTTTGACCTCCACGCGGCATGACAACCTATTTTAAATCACAGCATTCAATAAAATGTTTTTTTGGGAGACCACGTTTTGGCTGCCATCCCTCCTCCTTTCTTGTCCTTGTTTAGAATAGATCACTGTGAAATTATTATAACTGTGATTGACTTATGGGCTCAGTGGGATTCTGAAACGCTGCATATTCGCGGCAGTGGAATGATATCCATAAACCAGTGCATTTTTCTGCACAGCGAGGAGGTACGTTGAAGGATGCTTCATGACGATGTAAGATCGCACAGCCAAGTGTCACAAACACTTATTGATTATTTTGCAAGTCGACTCATGAACCCTATACCAAGAAAGTTCGCTTCCTTAACGTTATCCGTTGCATATAGAATGATATATTACACTAGACTGTGATTTTAAAAGTAAAGGGTTTATTTATGTAGTACAGCGTCCGGGGGTAGAAACATATTTCGTGGTCACATTCGATGCACAGTGATCGCTCCTTTTACAGTGTTCTTCAATGTTAGGGTGTCAATGAGTATTCATGATTGTACGTTTCTTG